GAGAGAGAGAGAGAAAGAGAGCAAAGATATAGATCAAACAATCGACGAAAATTGCAATGATCGAACCATCGAAGAAAAAAGGAATAACGCGAATTGGAGAATTCACGAGAAGCAATGAATTGCTATGCTATTCCAATTATACATATATTTGTTAGGGAAGGAGCTGTAGAGTTCGCGCACCGAACGAATAAAGCGAGTAGAGTGGTTGGAACGATTTGAACGATTTGAGCGATTAGATATATATATATATATATTAGAGCGGTTAGAGTGATTGGCATGATTAGCGCGATGCGCGCGAGTTTCTCACCTTTCGGCTGAAGTCGGCAAAATAATTATAAGTTTTGAGATAGGTGCCCAAGGATAGGACGTTGCATCTTTTACAAGTGTGTTTACAGGTACGTTCCATCAGTCTAAGAACGTGTAGGAAATCTTCGGCAACGTAATGATCCTCCTCGAGAAAAAGGACCATACCAGTATGATTCTTGGTAATGGACAATTGATCGAAGACACGATTTGCTTTCCACCACCAATGATGTTTCGTCTGCGTAAATTTTGCTTCTCTATAGTGTCCATATAGATCCGGATGCTTGGCATTGATGCAACCAAGATTGAGAGCTCTGCAACGTGAAATTATTAGAAGAAATCGTTTATTATCAAAGCGAGTGGCACAATCGATAAAAAAAGAGATATTACTCACTGCTCTTTTCGTATGTTTCGAGGACAATCGTTCGGATCTTCGCCTGGAAAACTTCGTGGATGAGTTTGTATGCTATGGGGATAAAATATTTGCATGACGCGACAAAAGTCGACACTCTGTACGAGATAGTTGATGTCCGGATGCCAGACGTCGTGACTGAACACCAGAAGGGTTTGCTCGATCCCTTTCGCTTGGGCCAAAGATACTATCAGGTGTCTGAGGTAGGTGAGTCTCGTGTGCACCTGAATCACTATTATAGGAGCGTCGCTAGCCAACGGACCGAAAGACTCCTCGTTGTACACTCTTTGCTCGTTGTTCGCTTTTTCTATGTTACGACGAATTTCCCCTATTTCGAACTCGGTTAACATTTCCGTGCTCGCGTTCATTAACGTCGAGGAAGAACCATTTCGACGATCTTTCAGAAACCTGGAAGAATAACTCTTTTTCTTTTTCCTTCATTTCTTTTTCCCCACTTTTCTTTTTTTTTTTTTTTTCTTTTTCCTATCACTTATCTTTCTCTTTTTCTTTGTCTTTGTAACGACGATCTCGGTGGAAACACATGCGTTTGCACGGCCCGATTTACCTATGTAATTCTTGCGGTACAAGGGCGAACAGCGTCTCGTTTGACGAAGCTTGTCCAGCGGAGTCTCGACCGGTTAGGCTGATCACATGGATTTGAAGCCAGAGGAACGTTGCCATGAAGACGAAGACGAGCGTCCTCAGGAAAGTTCCGCGAGCCGATCTGATCGTCCCCAGAAACGCCACTCCTGCAACAAACGCGAGAATAAATAATTGTTGCAACTTGGTCGGTAACAAAGATGATAAAAATAATAATAATAATAAATAAGAAATATATGCGTGCTCCGTTATCGTGTCATTATAACGAATTAATTGAATTAATTAATTTTCTCATTCTCTCGCTTACCTCTCATTCTGGCATTTCTACGCGTCCGGTCTGCAAGAGGAAAGACATTGATTAATTACTTGGTTATAATTTATATATATATATATATATTTTTTTTTGCTTATATAAAAATTAATCCATTATCTCGTTACCTCGTATCGGAGAAAAGACGCGACGGATGGTCCCTCATTTCGACGAAATCTGTGAAAAGAGAAAAGTATACGAGAATTGTAAATAAAAAAAAAAAAAAAAGAAGAACTATATCATTTACATACTTGTCCTTTCTCATATTTTATGATTTCGACCATGACGAGCATACGACAATGAGAACGAAGAAATGAATTCGGTTGGTAATAATAGTTACACTTTTTACCAGCGTAAATGCAAAGAGTAAAAGAACCGCATCGAGGGGCGTTTACTAGTGTATTGAAATCTCGGTTATTATCGGCCGCTAGAAATCAGAGTTTAATTTCCAGAGCGCAATGTGTCGACTCGGTGCTATCGTTTCGTCGATATTTCGTGCTATTCGTTGCTTTGTCACTATGTATGTATATACCTACCGTTGATTCGTAACGGCGAAGAATAGAACTATAAATCGCGTTTCGAACGCGCAATAGAAAGAGTTCACACCGATAAAAAACCAATTCTCTAACCATTTAATCGATCGTATCTCTTCTTCTTCTTCTTCTTCTTCTTCTTCTTCTTTTTTTCCTCGGTTATTCGCGTGCCGGTTTTTTCCGGTC